CACACAATGAGGGCGGATCATAGAGGAATGTAGATTTTATTTGTGTTTCCATTTTTATTGGTATTTTTTATTTTCACATGGCCATCGTTTCTATGTGTCCCCCACCCTCTTACCTCCCCAGAGTGCCAGCCCTTGTAACAAAGAATAATCGAAAGGGGAAGGATGACCAGGGAGGGAAATCGGTTCAGCAGAGCTCACTAGCGCATCGGCGAAGTCTCACCCGTATATTCATAGCCCCCAACTTGTGCAGAGAAAAGAGGGAGGTGGATTTTCTTCTCTTCTTTCAGATCAAGCTTGAGGAGCAGAGATCTCAGAGCGGGAAGCGACCTTCGAGGTCGTTGATGCCAACACTTTGATTTCATATTGGAGGAAACCGAGGCTGTGATTTGTTCAGTCATTCTCACATCTCTCAGCATCTTCATTTCTCGGTTTTTGCTACCACAAAAAACATTGCTATAAATAGTTGCTTATAGATGCGACTTTCCGTTCTTCATCTGGTTTCTAAAGATCAGAGAGTTTGAAGAGTTTAGTGACAATTCCATATTTTTTACCCAGACTGGTTAGACAAAGGTAGAATGCTGCTGACCTTATGGTAATGGTGACGTTCCTGTCTTCCCACAGCCTCTCTATTGTGGACTTTCTCTGTCTTTTAGGAGCTTTGCCAATTTGAATTTAAGGGGTATGAGGTGAAATCTCAGAATTGTTTTCATTAATATTTTTCTTATTTGGAATTTGGAGCATTTTGGGGGGGTTACTTGTATCTGCTTCCATCCTCTCTTTCTTTTATGTTTTTCAGAACTATTGTAATTATAGTTATTTTTGTGTATATGTATGTAGCTGCATGCAAATATGCACATGCGCGCGCGCACACACACACACACACGCACACACACACACACAGAGTTAGTGGATAGTCTTCTGTACTCCTCAAGGGAACATGAAACTTTCCCTTCAGCGTATTCCAACTTACCGTGATAACATGAGCTGTCTATTAGGAGAAACTAGTGGAAGGTACTCTGGGGGAGTGGAAGGAGCGCTAACAACAGGCACTTTGCATGAGAAATTCTTGGTTGTCAGTCAGGGCCTACAAGAGAGTGAGTTTCAAGTGTGTTTAAGGTCCTCTAGTCAAAATGTCTCGCTTTGTAGATGAATGAGCGTTACCTTCATTTAAATGTAATTGGTTTCTCTTATAATCCTGTGTATTTGATAACAGGAGTCCATACGTAAGCCCCACCAGACTGATGCCCAAGGGGTCCATGACCCCCAAACGCTTAAGAACCCTTGTCATCCGATGTCCTGGTATCTGTCTCATCTCCACTGGAAGGACCACTTCCTCCATCCAGTCTCTTCTGTCCCTCCCCTGTACTTTTAGAACAGCTTCCTCACTTTCTTGCTTCTGGTCTGTCTTCCCCTTCCAATCTATGCTTGGTAGAGCTGCCCAATGAACAGGGCTAGTCACGTCATTCCTCTACTCAAAAATCTTGTGATTCTCTGTTGCTTCTGGGATAAAACCTCAACTTGTTAGCCTGGTGCTTGGGGTTAATCAGTCAACCAGTGGGCATTTATTAAGCCAGTACTGTGTGCTGGCACTGGGGCGCAGGGAGAAAAAGTGAGATGGTCCCTAATCTCAAGGCTAGCTCAAGATGAGAGAAGGGAAGTTTTTGGAAGCTTAGGTGGGATGGTCTTCAGGCAGCTGTGGGGTGAGAAAGTGGAGGATAGGTCATTGCCGGCGCCTGAGACTAGGCCTCCAGGGGCGGACTTGGTACTCTCAGCTGCACCAACCTGCCATCAGTCCTAGTTGGCGTGGGAGATGCCGCAACGAGGGCCATTTGTTTTTCAGGGAGGGGGCAAGTTTTTATTCTGGTCAGCCTGGTTGTTTCCCCATTTCTGACGTTCCTCGAAGGAGACGCTGTTGGTTGACAAATTGAATGTGTGGTGCCCGGACATTTCCCGCGAGGTCAGCTAGAAGACTCGTGTCCAGAGTGGAGACAGCCTGCCCCAAGTGAGCTGAAGGGTCACCGAGATGCCTCTGCCCTCAAACGCCGACGTGTCGAACTGTCGGCTTTGTACTGTTCGTTAGTGTGTGTGTGTGGTGTGTGTGTATGTGTGCGTGTGTGCGTGCCTTCTGTGCCCCAGAAAAGCAGTTGGCTTGAGGAGGAGGGCAGAGTCTTAACTCGACATTTCTTTTAACCCCTAGTGCCTTGCGTTTGGCACTGATCCTAACCCTAGCACTAGAAGGGTGTCTGATCCAAACCTCTCATTTTACCGAGGAGGAGACCAAGGTCCAGCGAGCTGGTGTGGCTTACGGGCCCACAGAGCGAGAGCTGGAAGGCTTGAGACCTTCTAGTCCAAACCAGTCATTTTATAAAGCAGGAAAGCGAGGTTGGGAGATGAAGGCACTCACCCAGGGTCACCGAGGTGCTAAGCCTCCAAGGCGGGGTCCTTGGCGTGCTGGCTCCAGAGTCGTGGTAGGGCTCAATAACTGTTTTGTGTGGAAGCTGCTGGTTGGTGGGGGAAGCTCTGGGCTGTCGTCCTCCATGGGCAGCAGCTAGAAGCCCTGACGTCTGGTGGGAGCCGAGTTGTTGAGAGAGGATTCACACAGAGCCAAGGCTGGCACCTCCAGGTGACTCGCAGGTTAAGATGGCAGCCCGCCGAGCCCCTTTGTGGCCATGGGCTGGTGCCTCTGTCTTCATTCACTGTGCAGTAAACGTTCATCACAGACTGCCCGGGTCCCATACGAGGGCCTGCATTTGGCTTTGAGGGAGATATGAACATAAATGGCATCGAGCCTGATCTTAGGGAGGTGGGGGGGGGTCCTAGGGAGAAAGCCATGGCTCCGGGTCAGATCCACCTCTGAAGTTTACTACCCATGTGACTTTGCACAAGTCATCACTTCCCTGGGTTTCAGTTTCCTCTTCTGTAAAATGAAAAGTTTGGACTGGGTGGCCTCGGAGGTCCCATCCAGACCCAGACCTAGTTTCCTTTGTAAACGCACAAGCCCTTCAGAGCAGAGTAGAATGGCATAAATGCCCAACAAAAGGATTGAGTAACAGGAGGTTTTTCTAGAGGGTGAAATGCTGGTGGCATCCCAGGCGCTGGCCTGAGGGAAGGGTGTTGTCTTGCACCTCCCATGGTGCTGTTCTGTCTGTCTCTGGGCCCCTCGGGCATCGAGCGGCTTTTGTCAGCCTGGTGCCAAGCAGGGTCCTTGCTGGACTCTGCCCACTTGGCGCCTGCGCTGCTCTGGTGCGCCCAGACGCCCAGCTTCCTTCTCATTCCAGCCCCGGGTTCCGCTGGCCCTAGATCTTTTGTCAGTATTAATTATAGAAACAAGCAAAGCACCCGTGGGCCTGCTGCCTCCTGCAGATTTTTCCATCCCCCCATTGCCTTTGGTGGCCTGGGTTCACCTTTGCTGGGTGCAGAGCATTGCGGTGTTCTTTTGCTTGTCCGTATGTCTCTGTGCCTTTGTCTTGCTGTCTCTGGCTCGTGTGTTTGTAACTGTATCGCTAGTGCTCAGCACAGTGCCTGATGTGAGGAGTATTATTATTATTAAGCACTTAACACATTCTTTCTTTCCTTTCTTCCCTTCCTTTTCCAGCTTCCTTCTTCCCTTCTTTCCTGCTTTCCCCCTCTTCTTCCCTCCCTTCCTCCTTCCTTCCTTCCTTTCCCTCCCTCCTTCCTTCCTCTTCCCTCCCTTTCTTTCCTTCCTTCCTCCCTCCCTCCCTTCCTCCTTTCCTCGTTCCCTCCATTTCCCCTTCCCTCCCTCCTTCCTCTTCCCTCCTTCCCTCCCTTCCCCCTTTCCTCGTTCCCTCCCTCCCTCCCTTTCTCCTTCCTTCCTTCTTTCTTTCCTCCTTTCCCTCTCTCCTTCCTTCCTCCCTTCTTTCCCCCTCTCCTTCCCTCCCTTCCTCCCTCCCTTCCTTCCCCCTTCCCTCCCTCCTTCCTCTTCCCTCCTTCCCTCCTTTCCTCCCTCCCTCCTTCCCTCCCTTCCTCCTTTCCTCATTCCCTCATTCCCTCCCTCCCTCCCTTCCCCCTCCCTCCTTCCCACCCCTCCACATCTGTCTCTCTCAGTCCTCATCCCATCCGGAGGGTGGTGGTCCCAGAGCCGCAGGCAGGGTGTCAGCCATGTTGGCCTTTAAGTCAGAACGCTTGACTTCCAGACTCGTTTCTGTCGGGCCTGTCCCAGTGGCCTGAGGCGGTAACAGTTGGGCTGGCAGATCTCCTGAAAACAAAAGTCCCACAGAATAAGAAGGAGGCCCCGTGGTTCGGTGCTGGTGGTGGATTCATCAGAACTGCCTCCGAGGCTTGCTACCTGTGTGGCCTTGGATAAGTCACTTAATCTATTTCCTCATCTATAAAATAAAGGGGTTGGACTCAGAGGCCTCTGAGATGCCTTCCAGTCTGCCGTGAGCCTATGAATACGGCTTGAGGGCCCCTTCTAGGTTTCCATCTGTGATGGTAAGAAAATGACATCAGAGTTTTAAAAGCTGGAAGAACAGCAGAGCCGAACCAGAAGGTTAAAGCATTGGCCTGGTAGCTTTATTTCCATCAGACCCTTGTGGGCAAATTACTCTTTTGAACATAAAACCCTGGTTGTTGATCTAAGCTAATTTATTTGCAAATGGTAGTTTTTGTATCTGTAAGAAATCGTTTTTGTTATGGCAGGATTACAAAACTTGAGACAGGAGCTGTTCTTTCTGAATATTTCATTAAGAGATTGCTTGGGTGGGGCTGAGAGGATGAGGTCTGAGGGAAGGGGGGAGTTGGGGCAGGAGGTGGTTGGTGGTCTGAGGGAAGGGGGAATGGGGTGGGTGGGCAGGTGGGCTGGTTTGAAGACAGAGCTGCGGGTGAGGGGCCCAGTTTTAAGCTGTTCCCTTGAAGTTGCAGGAAAGCAGCTGGACCAGGTGGGAGGGCTGGTGTTTGCTTTGCTCTCCCGGGGAATATATCTAGAGCCCTCCCTCCATTCTGAAGTGGCCTCATTTTTTTGGTTTTGCTTCCTTTTACAGCAGGCAGAGGTGGAGCTGGCTGCAGAGACGCATTGGGCAGAGGGTGGTGGAGACCAGTTAAATTGGGCACACCTGTGCCGGGCCTCCTGATGCTTGAAAGGTAAGGCCCCCATCATCCTGTTACGTGGCTTAGCGAGGGAAGCGACTTGGCCAAAATCACACAGTGACTCGATGGCGACACATGGATTAGAATTCATGCCTCCTTCGTCCTGGGCAAGTTTCCTAATATATCAGGTGGGAATTTGGAGTTTTCCAGTTCATGGGCTCCTCTCCTTCCTTTTTCCTTCCTTTTCTTATTGATGCTGTGTGTGTATTAGGGTCACTTTCCAGTCCTTCCCCCCTACCCCAACCAAGTTAACAGTTAAGCATAATTCAGTACATTTGATCATGAGGGGAGTTTTCCCTTTGTTGGCCTGGCTACCAGGCAGCATGCAGGGGCAGCAGGTGCCCCTTTCAGAGACATTTTGGAGACGGTTTCTGGTTCAGTCCAAGCTTTTCCTTGGTTTAATTAGCCTGTCAGTTTGCAAAGGTGGCGTTATGCCCAAGGAGCCTTTTTGTTTTTCTGTTCTTCCTTTTAAACTCTTTTGACAGGAGGTTGGATTTTCCCAGCTCCCAGTGCAGCCTGAATGGCTAAAGGACTGAATGCGATCCCCTGGCAACAATGAGCCAGGTTTAAAGGGGCTCCAACCTCTGCTACACCTGTTCTCCTAAGGAGAAAGCTCTGGTTTTCAGAAACGGCAGGTATAGGGATGAGTCCTGCCCCATGTCACACCAGGAGCCTGGACATGAAAAGAAGCTGTGGCAACGGCCAAGCACCAACCTGTCTCACTCTCACTCACTCTGTCATTGCTGACATGTGGCCTTTTCCTGTTGGAGAGGTTTTAGACATAGAACTTAACATCCTTACTTGGGGAAACAGAGGTTCAGAGAAAGGAAGTGACTTGTCCAAGGGTCTCACAGTCTCCTGGTGCCCCGCTTGTCTCCTTTCTTCAGCCCAGAGGACTTCCCACCTCATCAGGTTGTTTTGTAGGATCTCTTCTCTCCTCGCCCTTTCTCCACAAAAAGTACTGCTGTAAGTATTTTGGTAGATATGGGACCCTTGTGGTTGAAAGGTATTTCACAAAGTTATCAAATATTTAGAGCTGGAAAGAGCCTTAGAGATCCTACAGTGCAATGAAGACAAGGGGACTGAGGGTTGGAGGAAGAAAGGAAGCATGCATTTGAGCGCCTCCTGGGCACCAGGCACTGTCCAGAATTATCTCATTTGTGCCTCACAACAGCCCTGTGAGGTAGGTGTTATTATGAGTCCCATTTTACAGTTTGGGAAACTGAGGCAGATAGCAGTCGAGTGATTTGCCCAGGCTCACACAGCTCTTGAGCGTCTGAGGCTGGATTTGAACTCGAGTCTTCCTGGTGCCGGGCCCAGTGCTCTATACAGATCATATAGCAGGCTAGTGGCAGAGCTGGACCTGGCACTGAAGCTCTTTCATTTCATGCTTTTCCCAACATCTGACGCCTCCTCCCATCGGTTATGCCTGTGGCCAAAAGCATTCAATTAAATTTGAGAGGAGAGGCAGCATAGTATAGTGGAAAGGGCATGGAATTTGGAGGCAGAAGACCTGGGTTCAAATCCTGGCTCTGGTACTTACTACCTGTGTGATCTTGGGTAAGTAATTTCCCTTCTTTGGGCATTGGTTTTTTCATTTTCAAAATGGAGAGGTTGAACTGGGTTTCCTTTTAGGATCTCTTATGATTCTAAGTCCACTAGCCTGTGAACCTGTCAGCTTACTGACCACTTGTTGTGGGCCTGGAGTGCCCTCTATCAGTGTCTACAACCACCCATCCCTCTAATGAACTCGCCCTAGTCCTGCTGCCTGGTGTTGGTCTAGGTTGGCTCTAGAAGGCACTTTAGAGGTCACCTAACGGTCCTGCCCCCTCCTTTTACAGATGAGTAAACTGAGGCCCACAGACAAGAAAGGACATAGCCCAAGATGGTACAAGTCATTCATTAGCAGAGCCGTGATTCAAACCTAGGTCCCCTGACTCCCAGCGTGGCATTCTTTGCTAGTCGCCATGTTGCCATGACGGTGGCGTTCATGAGCTTTGCTGCACCCCGTCCTGGGAGACTTTTCTAAGTGTGTTTATGTAAGATCCTCATTACAAAAGCCAAGGAGAAAGTCCCCATTGTGACTGCTCCCCCAGCGGCAGAGTGTTTCCCTCTCCTGATCGTTAGAGCCAACCGTGCCTTGGCTCCACTTCTTAGATTCTGAAAGGGCAGACCGTCTTAGTTTGTCTGTGGCTGTGTCTCCACCCGTCACTTCTGTAGCAGCATAGTATCGGCACCAACCTCTGCTAAATGGTCCAGGGAACCAGAAGGGGATGTTCTGAATGTGGCAAAGGAGAGGTTGTAAGAAGGGTTAGCCCAGAGCCAGAGGAGGGTAAGCCAATGGGCCCTTTGGAGGGAGGACAGAAATCTGACTGGAGAGGGCCTTTGTCTCTCACCTGGGCTGGAACCGAGGTGGGACAAATAAAGCCTTGCCCTGCATGGGACTCAATTTAGAGGGTGTCAGAATTGGCTCTGGAACAGCTGTGGTGCAGACTGGAGGGTCCTGGGCGAGGGACAGGACCACCGACACTCTAGGCCTTGTTCCTTTGTCAGAGTCTGAAGAAGGAAGAACTTAGCGCCAGGCAGCCCTCCTTCCTCAGGCCATGTGGGCACCAGCACTAGGAGCTTCACACCCAAGCCGAAGCCTTTAGGGATGATGAGTGTCCAGGTCACAGAATCACAGCATCTCAGAGGGGGGAGGGATCTCTTAGGCCACCTGTGGTGCTTCAGGTACTTAAAGACAATTAAAAATATTTATTTTTCGTTTTCAACATTCACTTTTATAAGATTTTGAGGCCTGAATTTTCCCTCCTCCCTCTATTTCCCCCCTCCCCAAGACGGCATGCAATCTCATATAGGCTATACATGTACAGTCATGTTAAACAGATTTTTACAATTAGTCATGTTGTGAAAGAGGAATCAGAATGAAAGGGAAAAACTACGAGAAAGAAGAAGAGAAGAAAGGAAAGCAATCTGCTTTGCTCTGCATCCAGACTCCATAGCTCTTTCTCTGCGTGTGGTTAGCATTTTCCATCAGGAGCCTTTTGGAATTGTGTACTTTAAGGCTATTATCACTCTGTCCCTCCATCACCCAGTCTTTTCTTCTTTAGGCTATGCTTCCCCACGTGGCATCGACTCACAGCTTGTCGTTCTGGTTGCCTTCTTCTGAATGCTCTGTAGGTTATCTGTGTGTTTTCTAAAACAGAATGAAAGCCCATACTCCAGATATGATTTAGCCCAAACAGAGTGCAGCAGAACCATCCTCTCCTTATTTTGGAAGCTATGGCTCTTCATGCTCAAGGTGGTATTAGATTTTTTTTAGCCACGATTTTCTCCCTGGTAGAGCTTATAGTCCACTAAACCTCCATGTCTTTTTTTCTTTTCTTTTCTTTTTTTAAGACAAACTGCTGTCTAATGCCTCCTCTATCTTGTACTTGTGAGATTGATTTCTTGGGTCCAGGACATAGGAGAGGGGTCGAAAGTGTGGAGAAGTGTGAAGTTGGCCCACACCCATTAGGCAGGTTAGTAGACAGTGGCCTCCCCTGTCAGTGACGCTGCTGGAGAGAAGCTCAGACCACAGGACTCACGGTGCCTTACAGCACCTAATAGCTATGGAATGGGGACAAGAAGGCATATCCTATTGGTGTCAGAGCCATTACTATTTTCTACTCCTTTTTTTTACCTCTACAAAGACTGAGGGTCTGGGCCCTTTACCCTATGGATGAGCCTTCTCAAGTTCAGGAGGAGAAATGGGTTTCCAGACTGCTTGTGGACACTGGGAAGGCCACATGTGGTTCATGAGGATGCCCTCCCTTTTCTTACCTTCAGCCACCCATTTGTTTTGGCTCAGTCACATTGGCGCACAAGCGCTCTCTTTCACTGCCTTCTCACCTCAGTGGAGGATTCTGATCACTGAGGAGAACTCTCATGGGTCATGTGCAACATACATTATTCATCCACTTTGCTTTTCCTGTGTGGATGGCTAACCTGATATCTTTTGAATTATTAAAGATTTTATTGACTTGGCTTTGTTTTGTTCCAGGGTGCAATGCCATTAATACAATGTCACCTGTAAATGGGGGTGTTTGGAGAATGTCACCATGAATGAGGAGTCTCTTTGCTATTTGGGCACCGTGCAGGACAGCCTCTGTGATACTGGTGAGCACCTTAAGGGAACTTGTGCCTTTGCTTTGGGTTGTGTTTAGTGTCGGTTTTCAGTCGGTGAACCCGTCATGGATGAAATTGCAATTGTCCTAGCGTCTTGGAGACGTCTTGTTTGAAGAGAGATGCTAAGGGTTTTCTTTCCAAGTAAAATTATTTTTAAAAGTTAACACCAGGAAGATAGAGTGGGAGATCTTATTTTTAGTTAATTACATGATTGTAAAAATGTGGGCTGCTGAAGAAAATCATCTCTGAAGGCTTTCTGATTCTCTTTTCATGTTTTCATCAATTATATCCTTAATGGCCTGTGTAGACCATTTTTTAGAAATAGTTTATAGTTATGAAAAATAAGAATAATGTGAGTGTGGTTGATGATGTCTTACTTCTGAAAAAAAAACAACAATAAAACCAACAACAAAGAACAGCTCCACATATTTTCTTGACTTTTTTTTATATCACCTACTACTTTTAGTGTTGTATCTCCCTCACTCTTTTGTAATAAAGAGCCATTCTTTGTAACAAAGAAGAAAAAAAGGTTTAGCAAAGTTAATTTTCATATCAAAAATTCCAACATTATATGTGGTCTTTCATACTCACGGTCTGTAAAAAGGCAAGGACGGGCAAGTGCATCATCCTCTTTTGTCTTTGGGGCTGCCCTCGGTCATTGGAATTTTGAAGCTTTTGTGGATTGTTTTGCTGTTCTTTCCATTTCAGTAGTTGTATTTGTTGGGTATAGAATTTCTCCAGTTCTGTTCATCTCACTTTGCATGAGTTCACATGACTTTCTTCTGTATTCATCATGTTCTTAATTTCCACTGTATTAATGAACAACA